TGTCATGGCTAAAAATATTTATCCTCCAGGAGAGCTAAAGTACGGTCTCTGCCAAAGTGACCTCCTAGTCGACCACCATGCAATTCAAAAAATAACTTCAACCTCAAGGAACCATCTGATATGCAGAGACAACTTCCCTTGAAAAGAAAACCATCATGCAAAACATAATCTTTAGTAGTTTCTAGGTCTCCCTAGGTACTTAACAAACAATTTCAGCAACATATGAGCGAGTAGCACATTGTTACAGGATTGTTTTAAAGCCCACAACCGATGTCAACAGAACACTAGACACCATGAATCTCCTACTCAATGCAGATGCCACTTGATTTTGACTTCCAGCCTTATGTTTGATCACATAGATGAATTCGTGCAAGAATGAAACCCATTTGGCATGCCTTCTATTCAAAATTTTCTAGGTAGTCAAGAACTTCAAGGACTTATGATCAGAATGTAATAAAAACTCCCATTGAACAATATAGTGCCTCCATGGCCTAGCTGCTCGCAATGTCGCATAGAACTCCAAATCATATGTCGAATATCGTGACTTAGAATTACTCGTCACTGAAGAAAGCAAAAGGGCTATTCTCTTGGCTCAAAACAGTCCAAATCCCAACATGGTATGCACCACAATCCACTTAAAAAACCTTGTCAAATTTTGGTAAAGCCAAGATAGGTGCCTGCATAATATTTTCTTTAATCAACAGGAAATTATCATTAGCTGCATCTATCCATACAAAGTTACCTTTCCGCATACAATTTGTAATGAAAGCGACGAAACTGCTGAATTTTTAATAAATCGCCAATAAAATGCAGCTACCCTGTGAAAACTACGCACATCCCCAACAGAAGTTGGTGCCCACCAGTCAATGATTCCTTGACCCTTGATTGGATCCATTCTAATCCCCTCAGTAGAAACTACATATTCTAAGAAAATAAGACTACATGTAAAAAAAAAGAACACTTTTTCAGATTTATAAATAACTTTTCAGCCTGCAGTGTTTCCAGAACCTGCCTCAAATGAATCAAATGTTCCTCAACTGTATTGTTGTAAACCAAAATATCACCACAATATACCACAATAAATTTCCCTATGAATGGTTTGAGCACCTGATTCATAACCCACATGAAAGTATTGGGTGTGTTCGACAAGCCAAGAGGAATCAGAAACCATTCATACAACCCCTTTCAAGTCTAGAAAGTTGTTTACGATACATCTCCTGGTCTAATTCTGATATGATGATACTCACTTCAAAAATCGATCTTGGTCAACACCTTAAATCCTGATAACATGTACAACATATCATCTAAGCAGGGTAGAGGGAATCTATACTTAATCGTGATGTTATATATGGCCCTGCTATCCACACACATTCACCACGTACTAACTTTCTTGGGAATCAACAGTGTAGGGACAGCCTTAGGACTTTGCCTCTCACAAATTAATAGGTCTGAAACTTGCATGTAGGTCATCATGCCCACAAGGACTCATCTGGTATGTAGATTTGGTAAACTCACTCCTGGAACCAAGTCTACGCGGTGCTACATATCCCAGGATAACCCACTAGCTAATTCTCTAGGCATCAAATCCCAGGATCCATCCAAAAGCAGCTTAACTACCTCAACACCACCATTATTCTTCACTGTCAAGGCAAACATAACCCCCCATTTTCACAACTTTCAGCCAGAAAACGATGCATGGACATAACTACTACGTTCTTTCCCACCATAACCCTCTCGTTATCTTCATTTCTCAAAGGATGGAAACTTCACATTCACACCATCCTTGGTAAACATAATATGTATTGTTCCAGCCATTATGAAGGATGGAACGGTCGTATGGCCAAGGACATCCCAACAACAAGCAACAAATCTCCATCTTGTAATACGTTACACCATACAAAGTAGTTATACCATTTATTTACTTACCAATACAAAAAGAGACTAACAAATGAGAATCAACAGGAACGTCATCACCTTGTTTGAACCACTGTATCATGTTGGATTGGGAGCTTCTCTTTCCTTAACTTCAAATTGTGCACCATCTCCTAGGAAACAATGTTCTCACAGCTTCCACTATCAATAATAAATGTGCATACTTTGCCTTGCACCGTGCATCTTGTGCAAAATATTTTAGTGCACAGCCATGACTCATCAACAACCTTGGGTGCAGCTAGCATAGGACGAATCAATATGAGCTCACCATCATGGGGAATGAGTCTTCTTCACCTCCCTCCATATCAGCCTCACTCCCTTCATTGGCCTGCATGTTTTCCTTCTCATTACCCTCCATGGGTTCCCTTTGCAACTGTATACTAGCTTGGCGCTTTGGGTAGTCATAAGATCTTTGTCCCTGCTCACCACACTTGAAGCAAGTTGTTGGTTTACTGCTGTTTTGGGACCGTTGTGCTGTGCTAGGCCTGAGTTGGTAGGTTTGGCCGTTAAGTTGACCACCTTAACCACAGGACAGATTAGAACTTTGCCCCCTTAGTTCCTTGGATTTCGTAGTAGTTAGTCACTTATCCATGAAGTGATTAGGCCCAGATTGGAAAATTTGGTTTCTCAGCTTTCAAGGAGAGTTGATGTGCCTAATCCAAAACAAAAATTTGATGCATAGACAGCTCATCTTGCATCACAACATTCAGCCCACTTTTAATCCTGTATCGAACTATCTTTCTGCCATAAATGATGGAGTTGTCGGTAAAGATCTTGCATATAATCAATGGGCAGAAACATTCCCTCTAAATACCTCTTCCTCTTCTACCAAATGCGGACCTCTTGCTTCCCTTTCTCTTGTGTTTGTTGCCACCACAACAAGGCCTTTTAATCCAGAACCAACAGATCGTAACTTTTTATGCCCTGTCATATCCTTCCATTGAAAAAACTGTTCACCACTTGCAAGCCAATCAAGGAATTCATTCGGCTATAGTCTCCTTGTAAGATCAAGCACATCAAACCTAATACTTCGTTCAGAGCCTTCAAGCACCTGAACAGCCACATCTTCAAATGGGATAGGGTTTCTTGCCTGTTACCCATGTGGTCCCAAGCTATCTAAGTTGAAATCATCTTCTAAATTCAGATTTAGTCGCACCCCAAACCCTGGGAATGCACAATGTCATCTCTGTATTCACTCCTTTGCTGGTGCAATTCTAGGGCAATGTCTCTGACATGATACACCTCGGCAGCCAGTATGCTGAATCTTTGAAGAAAAGCCTCCAAATCATCCATCATGGGTCTAATTCCAGCGCCTCGACCGTGATCTCATCTCACAAGGCCCCTGATTGGCTATATTTCAAGGAAAACTTAGAACCTAGGACCAATTAAATCCCAAATTCTTTAGGAAAGTAATCCAATTAGTCTAGAAGACCAACCACATTAACCTAATAATCCATGGTAAACCATCAACTGTGGTTCATACACCCAAGGAAATATCTTGAAAATATCCTAAAATCACCAAATCACCCCAAAATGGCAGGTTTTTAGATTTAGAAGGGAAATGAAATAGATTGGACTGTTCCAGATCCAAATGAAATGGAAAGTCTGACTAGAATATCTCAAAGATTCAAACAAAGAAAGCATCTGACTGTCTTGAAAAAATAAGCCAAAATGCGACCAATAACGCAGTCCACATCCCAGTGACGCATACCACATCGTTGAAAGATGGGTGGCCCAGATTCTTCTGGCCTGCCTGTTGACAGGAAAATGGAGGGTTTTGTTTATAAATAGACTGATTTCAAAAACCCTAAGTACCTTTTGGCACCGAGTTTCTGAAAAACCCTAGCCAACCAAAATCCTAACCCTTACCTAGATCTAGGCTTTCAAACCCTAGCTTTAGCTCCCCATCCCCTGCAATTGCAAGCCCTTTTCTAGTCCCTTCCAACCCAAATCTTCAAGAAAATCGAATTCTAAGCTCTATAATCCAAGCTTAAGAAAATCCACTTCACTCTAAAACTTTAATTTCAAATTCAAAGTCAAAGTTTACATAAATTTCTTTTTCAAAAAGAGAATCTGAAGCATAAAGATCTGAAGTTTCATCTGGAGTTCGATTCTGGGTGCGCAGGACCAATGGGCCTTGTTTCTTTCTTTTTAGTATCATGTTTTCCTTTATCTTTAATCATTTTACTTTGTTATATTTCCTTTTAAGTATCTAGTTTCAGTACAATCTAGCTGGCGCGGCTGACAATCTATAGAAGGATCAGTCTTATCAGATTGATTCTCCTTAGGGTTGTAATTCAACAGAGCCCTCAATCTCTATCGTGTTTATAATTTGATTTTGTTTAAAGCATAAATCAAGGAGATTTTTATGGTGAATCTCACTCCGATTGGCTATAAAGACCCGCAACCCTTGTGTAGCTATCCTTATGTTTCCAAAGAAACTGAATGCTGCGGTGTATGGAGAAATGGCTCAAATACCAATTGATGCAGCACAAAGTGTTGGTGGAAAAGACTAAAAAGAAAATAGGGCCGGCAATTCAATAGATTCAATAAAGTGAAGCTCAATAGTCTTCAATGAAGAAGAAGCCTCTCCACAATGACGATATCATCAAAACTACTGTCTAACCTCTTTACAGAGTTTTCTTAAGTAGACACTCTTCTAAACCCTAAATTATAAGAAAACAAATACCAAAATTTTTTCAAAGATTCCACACCACCCCTAGACAATATTAAAAATTCTATATGTACAGATGATGTGCATATAGAAATAAATAAATAAAGTAGAAATTAAGTGCAAGAGATGATGTGCAGGATCAGGAAGACTGCATCATAAGTACAGATGGCTTGGAGGGGCACATTCATTGCATGCCCTCAAGTATGCTTTGTCTAATGATGTCAACAATAAAAATGTGTAAGGAAATTTGCGTACATCAGTTCACAGTGGAGCTGCTCTCTCTAGCAGAGAGAAAATTTGCAGATATCAGTTCACATCTGATCAGGTAAAAGCACAGGAACATGAAAACATGAGGTACAACCCTCTTTATAGTTTCACTTGCACAAATACTCACTTTCTGCCACGAACAGCTTGATAAAGCATCTTGCATTTGTGAGGCTAAGGAATCAGAAGCCATTTCTGCCATGTAAGGGGATCTCGAACCACGGCTTCCAGAGTGTCTCCCAACCTAGAACACCATATCACGTCACATATGATACAACATCTATACCAAGAGAACTAGAATCATGCAGGATAAAAGTGACAATGAGATACAATAAACATACAAAGAGAATTTTAATTCATTTATGACCAAGCCTAGAAAATTATATTGATTATGTTTCTCAACTAGAAAATAGAAATGCAATTAGAAATACAGAGTTAGCATATAAGCAATGCAGAGAACTTGAAGAAACAGTAAATATAAGCAAGAAAAAAGGCCAAACACAAGCAATAACTAGGAGAACCAAGGGTTTCCTCCCTAACCCCGCTAGGGTCCCAAAAGCCTAAGCTTTTCTTTCTCTTTCAATTCTGAAAATCATGTGGAATATTCACTAAAAAGCTTAAAAACCCTAAAAATAAAACTTAAAACTAATATCAAAATATGCATCCTTTGAAATTGACTAAAAATTAAAAATAAGAATAGTTTTGTCTTGCAATATTCGCCCTTGGTTGGAAAAAACTAGTCCTTAAGCTATGAACTGTGCTAAGATGAATTCAGCATCAAAACTACCTCATTAAACATTCTTCTTCTTTATTGGCTCAAATATTATTCGTGGTAATAAGAAATCCCCAAGAAATGGATTCTGGTATAGAGAATTTCCACCACCACTTGCCTAAAAGGGCTCGGTTCATGATTCTAAGATTTTTAATTCCTCGACCGCCGAAGAACTTAGGAGTACATACAATCTCCCAAGCCACTAGGTGTCATCAACCCCAGACCAAAGAAGATCTCTCATGAGTTTTTCCAATATTTGAATGACCGAGAACGGGATTTGAAACATTGACATGTAGTAAATGGGAATGCTGGCTAAGGTTGCTCGGATAAGAGTAATTCTACCCCCAAATGAAACGTATGTGACTTTCCAAGAGGCAAATTTCCATGTGAATCTCTCAACGAGGCTATCCCACATGTTTTTTTTAGGTTTTCCTATGCAAAGGGGAAGGCCAAGATAAGAAGACAGTAAATTTTCTAAAGCACAACCTAGTCGGGAAGCCAAACTGAGAAGGGCTGTCTTGTCAACATGAATACCCATCATTTTAGTCTTGGAAAGGTTTACTTTCATTCCAGTAAGCAATTCAAAAGCCCTCAAGAATCGCCATAGGTTATCCACTTGAGTTGGATTGGCATCACAGAAAATGAGTGTATCGTCAGCATAGAGAAGGTGAGTTATTGTTAGACCAGAGGATGAAGTTTTGAAGCCCGAGAGAGACCCATTGGCATAAAGTCTTGAGATAGACTAACTGAAAAGTTCACCTATCAGTGGGAAAAGGAAGGGTGACAAAGAGTCACCCTGCCTAAGTCCTCTTTGAGCTTGGAAGAAGCCTTCAGGTGATCCATTAATTAGGATGGTGAAAGAGGGTGCATTCTGATATCCATTTCCTCCAAGTTGAGCCAAAGCCCATCCTAACTTTTATGGCATCTAGGATAACCCAATCAACCCTATCAGAGGCCTTCTCCCAATCTAACTTGATGACAAGGCCTTGTTGTCAAGAAAGGGATCTCAAATGAATGACCTCGTGCGCTGTAAGATATAAGCTTTGATACCAATTTGATACAGAGAACTAAAGAATCAGTAAAATTCAGCAAGAAAACATGCTAAACACAAGCAATACCTAGAAAAAGATAGAGTTCCTACTCTAACCAGCTAGGGTTCTAAAAGCCTAAGCTTTTCTTTCTCTTTCAATTTTGAAAATCACGTAGAACGACCCCTTCAAGGCCCTACCACCTTTTATATATTATAATTTAGTATTCAAAGGAATTAAATGTCCACAAAAACTTAAAAAAAACTTAAAAACCCTAACTTAAACACAAAATTTGTAATGACAATTTTAACCCTATGAACAGTAAGAACAATTTTAACCCTGTGAACAGTAACCTATGAATAGTACCTACGAATAAAAAAAAAAAACCTAGAATCGCAAAGTAAGATTAAAATATACATCGTCTGAAATTGAATAAAGATTAAAAATAAGAATAAGATTAAAATAAACATCACTTGAAATTGAATAACGATTAAAAATAAACATAATTTTGCCCTGCATCACTAAGACAGCCCGAAAATTCAGTGTAAACTTCGTCTTGACAATACCTTACATGAGTGCAAATCAAAGGTGGAGGAAAACTGCCCTAATCATGAACACTCCATCAAACCATAGAGCACCAGGGTTCCTTATCCTGAGCTACAGCCAACCCAAGCCAGCTTGATACAAGACCCAATACATGCTATCATAAGTGAGATATTAAGACTAGGCACTGCATTCTTAAGTATTGCAAGGTGTTATGTCTACAATTTGTTTATTTAACAAGCAAGGTTGCCCAACAAGTAAATTGTTTTTCTGTTTCCCCACCCCCCACACCCCCCAAATGACAACAAGAAGTAATCACATCTTTTAGAGTGAAACGTATGTCAAAATTTGCTTATTCCTCAATAAACTTTAGCCTAGTTGGGGAGACATAGGAGTCTTCTATAAATAAAAGGCAGGAGCCATGTTCAATTTTCAGTGAGACTCCTGACAAAATTCGCTTATTTGAAAGATGATTTTGTACACAGGGTGGAGGAGTTTTTCATATGACAGGAATTAGGGTCATAATCTTAACTGACAAGTATGTCACAATTTACAATAGAGAAAGAGAGAGGAGAGTCGTTACCTATTATAGGAAAGGATAGAGAAAGGAGGGTCATCTTACAATCTCATTTTTCAATAGCAGATTTTGCCAATTGACCACAGAATATCTTCCCAAATTGATAGATTGATGAATAGATAGAGATAGATAGATACACAGACAGAGAGATAGAGAGATAGAGAAAGAAGGGGGGAGAGAGACTGATCTTTAATGAACCCAAATCAGATTAATCTCCTGACAATTGAATCCTTTGACTATCAATTAAGATTAATCTCCTAACAATTGACTCCTGACTGTAAATTAAGATGACGCACACACAGTCAAGAGAGAAATCATAGAGAAGCTTTATCTTAAAGGGTCCACCTATCAATACAAGGTAAGGTCTTACTAGAATTTTCATGGTGCCATTGATATGCCACAACTAGACACCCACCAACCACTTGCAGACCAAATATCCAATTATACTCCCATAATTCTGGTATGGTCTTTCCTCTAATAGCCCAATTTGCTCTTTCTTTTCAAAGAAATGGAAGTGCATATTAGTGAATACTTAATGTATACCCAATTTGCCCAATTTTCTTTGATATAGATTTCAGAAACTTAAGATGTTTGGTCGTAGAAGGACTGTGAGACATTACAAAGAGAAAGCCACAACACTATTGAATTGAGAGAAGTGCTCAATAAATCAGCAAGAAGACTTAAAATTGTTAGAGTTGGCCTCAAAATAGATGAGGTGGTAATCGAGGTCCGGTCCCAAACAAGGAATGGCCCCAATACCTCAAAACAGTGGTAGCGAACTAGGTAATTTTAATTAAAAACATATGAAAATTATCATTTTCATAAATCAGGTGATTTTCGTAATAACAGAAAAAAAAATACCTTTTAAGGAATCATCATCAATCATCCAAGCTGTACTCCAACTATATGGGGTGGCTATGTGAATCCAGTTCTGCCATTCAAGTCTGTCAAGGGCCAGACCCTCAGTCAAACCATAAGTCATCATCTCTCTCATTACTTCCATTCATGTCCTTTTGGAATTTCCCCTTACCCCTTTAGAGCCTTCGACTTGAACCAAATTGCCCCTCCTAACAGGTGTTATTCTAGATCGACACTACACATGGCCAGACCATAAGCCTACCTGCCATTATCTCATCTTCTATTGGAGCCACTCCTAAGATCTCATCTTCTATTGGAGCCATTCATTCATCTCAACATCCTCATCTCAGCTATACTCATTTTATGGATATGTTGTTTCTTGACCTCCCAATATTTTGTCCCATAAAGTATGGCTGGTCTTGAAGTTGTCTTATAAAACTTTCCATTCAGTTTCAATGGTACATGACGATCACATAAGAATCCTGAAACACATCTCCACTTTGTCCATCCAGCTCTAATCAAGTCCTTTATTTTTAGTGAAAATAAATCACTAATGCTGAATTACCCATTGCCACCAAAAAATACATGTCTTGTTTGAAATTCAGGTACTGTTTCTGAAACAAACAAGTTTTTTCTCTTTATTTTTTACCCTTTTTTTTCCAATTATTATTCATAAGGAAGAAAGGTTAATTGTTTATGGTTTCAAGCAAAGAAAATGGGAAGAATAGGTTTCAAGATCAACAACTATAGAGAGAAATGCAAAGAAAAGTTTTCATTTCTTTTTTCTTTTTTTCTTCACTTTTTGGGCCAGGTTACCTAGAATCCACGAGCTGATGTGGGAATTGGCGATACAACCTACATCACCAGGTGACGGCCACCAGTTCATGTCTTTAAAATACTGAATGAGAGGGATAGGTGGATCACTGCCAATTGCTCCTGCTCCCCTTGCTCTCTCTCTTTGTAACATTTACCCCCATATCACTAGTATTACTCTCACACATACACACATAAAACCTCCACCACATGCCATTTGAAACAAATGGTGGATGCCCACCTGGTGTGCCATATATCATACAGAAGTAGTGTAGGTATGCATTCTTACAAGTAATAATAAAGAACTAATTCCACCATCTTGAATTTTGTGCTATAATATAAGGAACTATTAGCTTAAGCTTTGCCTTAATCATCCTTCATAAAAGCCCAGTACATTTTGGATATATAAAATACCAAAAGGACATTCCAAAGCATGCACAACATGGACAGGAGTGTGATTATGTGGAAACACTGAGGGTCGACATGCTGAAAGAATATGCAAATTAATCATATATGTTTCAAGACATTATTGCTACTAAGGTTCTGAAATGCACTGAAGAGCAACACGTAAAAATAAAAAAGGAGTATTTGATTCAATTTTATAAAACAGAAGATTTATTTCTCAAAGCAGGGGAACAAAGCAATAAAAGTAAAAAAATTTCAAAGTAATTTTACCTTTGGGGTTTCTCCCTTTATCTGTACTGAAGACATGCCAGCTCTTTCCATCACATAATAAAACCGCAGTTCATTCATTGCTTCCAAAATGACTTGAATGGATTTGATTAAGACATTAGATTCAATAAATATATGCTCTTGTACCTGTAAAGTGAAGAAACATTACAGATTTCTTAACTGCAGCCATCCATGAAACAATATAAAACAGATCCCTAAGACATAGTAAACAGTTTTTTAAACCTTCTGATAAACAAAATGTTATGGAACTAAAAATGAATAAGCACTATAGCTCTAATGCTCTTCCTACAAAAAATATCAAACAGAAGCCCTCCTTTAATGAGATAGATTTTGGAAGGAGTGTTAATTTACATAATTTGGGAGAAATTATTTAAATTTGGGAAAGAACGTATTCCTAAATCCTTTCATTTATTTCCCCCTCTATGAGCAAGCCTGCTACTCCCCAGAACCTTATGTCTCAGACAATCCTTCTATTGTTCTTTGATGATGCAAAAAGTACATCAAGTTGTCAAAGTGACGACTATCTTCTACGGAAGCAGCAGATTCCTCCTAATTCTTGCTCATACTTGGAGGATGTAACCTAGGAAGGCTACCAAGAAGAAAGAGAAGAGCAAGCATTGTCTGGGATGATTTTCTAGTTATTTTATTTGCAGTCAATTTTAATTGCAGGATCAGTTGGGACTTATAGTCATTTTATTTATAGTTACTGTCATTTATTTTAAAAGTCACATAAATTAGGACATATGGGTCAATTTATTATATATTTATGATACAATTATAGTCTTTTGAACACTAAACAAATATAAAGTGGTGTGTTGGGGGCTTTGGAATCCTTTCTGGGTTAGCAAAGAAACATAGGTTTTTTCTAATTATTGCATGTGTTGGCCTGAATCGTTATTGTTTTCCTGTTCTCTTCTAATTTTCCTAATCCAATTTGGTATCAAAGATCATGTTTCATCAACAGCAAGGCCGAGCCTGCAAAGTACGGCCAAGTCAAGGGTCTGCTGATTTTGGGCCAAGTTTTGCCAAGTTCAACCGAGATCATGCTGATTTCAGCAAGATTTTGTTGATTCTCAGCCGAGGTTATGTGATTACAGTGAGAATCGATGGCAGAGAGAAGGGACCGTAGAAAGGGGTTCTCACATAAATGGAGAAATGGAGAAATTGAGAACCTTAAAAGGTAAGTTTAGCAACTGTCATAGCAGTCCACGAGTATCTATCATGAGCAAGATGAAGATCTTTCAGCCCAAGAAGTTCTTGAGTACAAGCCTTTTCACATCGTGCTAATGATGAGGACGGCAACAGGAGGCCTAGACGTGGGGTGCACCGCCCTAGAGATATCAATTTGATGGTGGATATACCAGATTTTGATGGTAAGCCTCAAACCCAAGGAGTTTACATATTGATAAGATATTGTAGAAAGAGTTTATGATTAGAAGGAGGTAACTTATTGCAATAAAAATGAAGGGAGCCTCGACATGGTGGGAATAACTTACAGCTAGAAGGGAGTGAATGGGAAAACTCAAAATTAATAACTGGGAGAAGATAAAAAAGAAATTAAAGGAAATATGCCTACCTGAAAATTATCTACAATTCCTTTATCATAGGATGAATAATCTTTGATAGGGAGAAAAGAGTGTAGAAGAGTATATCGATGAATGTTATCAGTTGATAGCTCCGAATGATGTGATTGAAAGACATGTATGGTCCCTATCTTGCTGTTGTTGGTGGGCTGAGAAAGTTGCAGTTTTATAGCATGAATGGACCTTGGATGAAGCTTACAACCTAGTTGAAGCTTAGCAGAGGCATCCATCATCAAGATGGGGCGCAGCCCTAGGTAGTACAAGTGGCTATGGAAGCAAATTCAGGGGAAAAAGTGGGAATGAATGACATGGCTGGACAGTCCTCCTGACTTGCTGGTCCATCTAAACAGTAAGATACAGTGGGTGTTGGGGTCAGTTCTTGTGGCCTGAATCACCCAAAATAGCAACATCAATAAGTAATTCAAACACGTCTCTTCTCAGTGCCGATATAGAAAATTGTGAATGATGCTGAGAAGATTCTTGAAAAGCACAGCAAGATCGTTTTGATGGAGACCCCATTTATGATGAGGAATCTGAGGAAGAACAGCCTAAAGTGACATTTAGTGACCATGGGACGCCTTGGTGATCTGCACAGCATGATTACACCCCGACTGGTAGATGAGGCAGGTCGGTTGCGCACAAATATGTTTTACACTCGATGCACAACCAATAGGAAGGTTTGCAATCTTATCATTGATGGGGGCAACTGTGAAAATATTGTTTCTAAAGAGATCGTAGAGACAAGATAAAATTGAAACAGAGACAAAACCAAAGCCATACAAGATAGCTTGGTTCAAGAAAACGAAGGAGATAATAGTTTCTTAAAGGCTGTCCGGTTTCTTTTTCAATTGGAGATCACTACAGATATGCGGTATGGGGAGATATTGTGCCAAAGGATGCATGTCATTTATTATTTGGTAGATCATGGTAGTATGATAGGCATACCATAAGGGTTTAGAAACACTTCTTCATCAAAGATGGGGTAAAAGTAGTTTTAGGTTCATATAAGAAGGAAAGTGCTTCTAAGTCAAATGTAGGTGTGCTAACATGTTCCTTTAACAAAGTTATAAGGGGGTTGCAGGAGTCCAGGATGTTGTTTACAGTGGTCCGACGGGAGGAGCAGCCTGCTAGTTTGGTTCCACATAGTTAGATGCCTTAATGAGGGATTATAGTGATGTCATTCCGATTGAGATACTCGAGGGGTTACCACCCATGAGGGACATCCAACATCACATAGACCACGTTCTTGGGTCTAGCCTACCTAACAAGAATGCATATAGAACGGGCCCAAAGGAGCATGAAGAATTGAGTCAAAGCCTTGTCCCCACGTTATTAATGCCTAAAAAGGACGGGATTTAGCACATGCGTATGGACAACAAGAATATTAAAAAAATCACAGTCAAGTACCGCATCCCAATTTGTGCCTTGAAGCCGTGAAGATATGTTGGATATGTTGGCTGCTAGTGCTAGTCTTCGAATATAGATGTGAGAAGTGGATACAATCAGATTCACATTCGGCCAAGAGATGAGTGGAAGATTTACATTCAAACTACAAGAGGGCCTTTGTGAGAGGCATGTGGTGCCAGTTGGCCTGTCCAATGCTCCCAATACTTTTATGAGGGTGATAGATCAAGTGTTTAAGCCTTCCATTAGTAAGTTTCTGGCGGTCTACCTCGATGATATTCTAGTAGGCAGCATTGGTGAGTAGGTGCATATGGAGCACTTGAGGTTGGTGTTTGTTAGGGGAACAACAATTGTATGTGACTATTAAAAAGTATTTGTAACAACTTAATTCTTCTTGGTCATATTATCTCAGCTAAAGGGTATTATAGTTGATCAAAGGAAAGTAGCAGCTATCAAGGATTGGCCCACTCAAACTATAGTAGTATTGTTATATTTGATGGTATCAATGTCTTTTATTTTTGCTTAGGACATATGTCTATTTCACTGTGCATGGGCAGTCTTGTAATTTGTTCATTTTATTAATACAAAGAGGTGTGTGCTGGTCATTCTTAACCACCACTCTCTCTCACCCACTCTCTCTCTCTCTTCCTAATGCCTCTTTCTCTCTCTTCTCTCCTTCTTCCTTCACGTTCCCTCCCTTACTAGTCTCTAATATCTAAGATTTACTTTTCTCCTTTTTGCTTCTTTAATTTGCCCTAGAATATTTTCAACTCGGTATCAAAGCAAGCTAAAGTATCAAAGAAAAGGTATGTGGGGATATAATTTAGGGCTAATGTCATCTATATGATTAGAATGCCTTGAAACCCTCATATCATTCCAACAATGATAGTGTTCATCAAGGTGAGTTCTCTTGGTGATTCTTAACGTAGATCATATGTTTGATAGAAAACCTAAATCACAAACCGATTAGGGTTTGTGTACCCCAATCAAAAAAATATTAGCAATGTTGTTTTTAATGTTCTTTTGAATAAAAGAGAAGTGTGATCAGATCTGAGGGTGTAACCAGATCTGTATATATCTTTATTTTTTTTGGGGGGAGAGAACTAAGATGTTTGTTTGAATGGAAGATCTGAGGATGTAACCAAATCCGTAGAAGTTTTTTTGAAAAGATCTAAGGGTGCGACCAGATCATTTTCTCAAAAAAAAGAAAAGAAAAGAGTGTGACCAGATCTCAACGATTGATTAGATCTGAGGATGTAAGCAAATCTCATCAATAGCAGAAGATGTATCAACAAACATCAAATACAGAGCAATTTGGACTCCAAATTGCCAAAGTAAAATTTGACAGCATAGATTACTTAGAACATACCAGCTCAACTAGATTATTTCTTGGAGGAAAGAGAATCGGGATATATTGATGGTCAAGTAGGAAAACCAGATCTCAAGGATCCAAAATCTGCAAATTGGGAGGCTGATGATACAAGAGTTATGAATTGGTTATTATATTATATACGGCCTAACGTGAGTTGAACTTTTATGAATTGCAATATCTCTAAGAAATTGTGAGATGCAGTTTCTGACGCTTATTCCCAAAAGAAAATTGTTGCAAAGATTATGAACTGAAGCAACAAATCAATAGCATTAAACAACGGGACTTGTCGGTGGGATGAAATAAGCCATTATTAGCCCATACAGTCCTCATCTTGTGCAAAGGAACAAGATGAAAGATTATAACAAAGGAGGATTTTTTATGTTCTAAGAGGAGAATATGAATCAATTAGGGAAAATGTTCTAGGTGGTGATACTTTACCCTCACTTGAAACAGTTTCCTCACTTCTTTAGCATGAGGAAACTCGCCACGAAATTATGTAGTACCTACAGGAAAAACAAAAAGATCTGCTCTATACTCAAGTTCATGTGGTAATCGAGGTGGAAGACATCTTGGGAATCGAGCTGGAGGCCCCGGTGCTGGACAAGGTCGTGGAAGCCCCGCATTTGATAAGAATTACAAGTTAAAGTGCACCCATTGTGGGAAGACTAGACACAAAAGGGATACATGTCGAGATCTGATTGCATGCCCTAGACGTAACTTTTCTCAAGCAAATTCAGAAATAATTAGCGAAGGTGCTACTCATGCTA